TCAACAAGGGTATGGTCAAAAGAACAATTACCAAGGACCACAAGGCACTTTCCCTGGACAACAAATGAATATCCCACCAGGCTTCCCCCACCAACCGCCCCAGCCTGCACCTTCACAAGAGAATGAGCTCAAAGCAATGCTAAAGCAACTACTTCAAGGGCAAGCTGATGGGGTAGTGGACACAAGCAAGAAGCTAGCTGAAATAAACTCTAAGATCGAGAACCTCAACACAAGGGTTTACTCTCTGGAGAATCATGCTTCTTCTGTTGCTGCTGCTACAAAGCAAGGACAACTACCTGGTAAAGCTATTCAGAACCCCAAGGAACAGTGCAAGGTCATCTTCACTCAAGAAGGACTTGTTGAAGAAGAGGATCAAGAAAGGGTCATTGAAGATTTTTGTTTACTGCTGAATGATGAAGAGATTGTTGCTGCTGAGGCTCCTGGAGTCCAGATTGATCAACCAGAAGTGCATGCACCTACTGTGGCCATTCACACTTCACCAGTTGAGCTCGCACGACAAGCTCGATCGGCAGCTCGATCGAGTCCAACTCTAGCTCGATCGAGTCCGACCTCTTCTGTCCGACAGCCTGTTTTGCTTGATCCTTATCAACCAGTTGCCGCTTCCTCGTCTCGCCTACTTAGTCAAGGTCACAAGGAAGTGATTCACAAGTTCAGAAGAGATCTCAGTGGGATTGGAATTGAGTTGCCTCTATGGATAGCATGAGTGAGGCATTTGATCAAATGCAAATGGTCAAGGATGTTCTAGCCAACAGTGATAAAGTTTCAGAGGTCCTACAAGAGTCTACTCATCAGTTCAACCTGCTTACTTCACCCACCTTCCTACCAAAGGTCAAGGATCAAGGGAAATTCACTCTCCCTTGCACACTTGGGCATCTTGAGATTGACAATGCCTTAGTGGATTCTGGAGCAAGCATCAATCTGATCTCTCTCTCCATGGCAGAGAAGCTAGGCATAGCTGGAGCCTTGCAGCGCCCTACTACTTCAATCATGTTTGGAGATGCAACTTCTAAGTCTCCTCTTGGAGTGTTCAAGAACTATCACTTGAAAATTGGAGAATGCATCATCCAAACTGATCTCACTGTGATGGAAATGGAAGAAGAGAAGGATTTGCCTTGTTATTGGGAACCCCTTTCCTTAGTACAGTTGGCGCTTCAATAGACTTTCACAAGCAAGAAGTGATCCTTCACAAGGTGAATAGTTTGGTGTCATATCGCTTGCAGCCTAGAGGTTCAGACTTTTGTGCCACAATTGACAGTACCAACTCTCAGTTCTAAGAGTCATGGAGCTACAAAGGTTGTGAAGGAAAGGGTTGACAAGGAACCAAGAGTTGGGAAGGATAAGGATGAGAGAGGACCAAGGATTGAGAAGCCACGTCTTGAGAGGGCTAGAGTTGAGAAACCACGATCTGATGAGAAACCAGCTGATAGGCCAAGAGCTGATACTTGTTCAAGCCCCTTGTGTGCTTGATGAAGAGAGCCTTCAAGCTTTGTTTGATGAGCCACTAGGAAGGGCTCTAAAAGAAGGGGAGGATGCAGCCTCTAAGGCAAGACCAGGGATAAAAGAAAGGATCCACCAGCTCAGGCCCCTTCAGTCAAGCCATCTCAGCTCACAATGACTTGTTCCCCACCAAGTTTGAAAATGGGAAGATTGAGTACAAGATAAGGTACAAGGGGAGATCAAGGCCATTCTCTAGAGCCAAGGCCTTGGTGACTTCAGAACAGTCCAGGGACCCAACCAAGCTAAAGGAGCTTCTGTCTCAAGTCCTCACTATCACCCTTGATGGTGGGACTAGCTCAACCAATGCCTAAGAAGGTAAAGGTCAAGCTATGGGACCTTAAACAAGCTCACTTGGGAGGAAGTCCCATGTTTATCCTTGTACATACTCTATTTATGCAATTTCTATCTATCTTTATGTTTTTAACCTTTCAATAAGTTAAGTTTAGGTGTCAAGGAGCCAGCTCGACCCAGCTCGATCGAGCTAGAAACCAGGGCAACTCGATCGAGCTACACAACTCGACCAAGGTAAGTTTTTGAATTTCAAATTCATAACCGTTTTCTTGGTCAAGGGAGTGGGTCCCACAAGCTGATTTTGGTCCCCCACTACCCTAATTGATCAGAGAATCCCTAGTTTCTTGTTCCCTCTTTATTTCATCTTTTAATCTCAACCACACATCTCAAACACTCTCTTCCCCATAACTCGATCGAACCCCATCTCCTCTCTCCCACATCTTAAATTTCTGAAATCATCTCTCTCTCTCTTCACCACAAGAAAATTTCGAATTTTCTCTTTCTCTCTTAAGTTTTTGCGATTTCTTTGTTCTTCATCTTGTTTTGCTTGTTTTGTTTACTGCTCTTCAATTCCATCATTCAACAAGGTATGAACCCTAAAACCCTTGATTCTCCATCTCGATTTCCTATTGCTTGTTTCCTTTGATTTTTGATTGCATGTGTCCCTTGTGGACTTGTTATTGAGTAATTGCTTTCATATTTCGCCTCTGCTGTATAACTTGTTAGTTTGCTTCACCTCACCTCTGTTTTGCCTTTAAACTTGTTGCATGTGCTTGAAAGTTGAATTTGAGTTTGGTAATGGTTAGGTTGCTATGTTTTTCACTAGAATTGCTTATTGTTCCATTTACTAGTTGTTCTTGGTTCAATTTGATTGATTAGCATCCTTTCCAGCTCTTAATACTTGAATTAGGTTTGGTTATACTCTGTTTTCACCCAACTCGATCGAGTTTGTCACTCGAGTTTTTTGACTCGATCGAGCTGAGTGTCGAGTTGACCAAACCGATCATTACAACTCTAATTCTTTGTAATTTTGATGCATTTCAGGTACCAAGTAAGAAACAGAGTAACAAGGATGACAAGTGAGGAAGCCGGCTTCACAAAGGAGAATGATTGAGGAGAACAAGACTGCAAGAACAAGAAAAAAGGAGATGAAAGGATTGAGAGGGTGAGGGAAGAGAGGAGAACCAAGAAGAGGAATGACCCTCTCAGCAGTGAGAGTGAAGCAGGAGAGTTTGAGATTGGAGTGAACATCCCAATGAGGAGAATGATGACTCCCAAGTGAAGAAGAGGGTGAAGAGGTCAATCAAGAGATTGAGGAGAGTGAGCATGAGAGCAATGAGAATGTGCCCATGGAAGAGGAGGAGTCAGAGGAAGAAGAGGATGAGCTCCCCATGTACCAAGAGCACTACAATGCTCTCTTCTCCATGGACTTTGTGGAGACCAAGTACCCACATGATGACACCATGAAGGCCTTGGATCTTTGAGGATGTGGAGTTGGTCTCAAGAACATGCACTTGGCCAAGTTCTTCTCTACCGCATGGAGTCTACAAGGAGCTCACTTGTGAGTTTTTGGCTCAATGAGGTCCACAGTATGAGCTCGATCGAGCTGAGTTGGACCAAGGTTGGGGATGGATCACGTTCTTGGCAAGGGAGAGAAGAAGGAGGTGACCTTTAGGCAGCTTGGAGATCTTTTGGGTTCACTATGGAGAGGGAACCATGGAACTCAAGGAAGGAACTCCAAAGGGTTTGGGCTACAATCGCTGATGGAGTACTCTTCCTCAAGGTCCAAGGCAGCTCAGATCAGGAGCCCAGTGCTTGAGATATGTGCACAAGGCTCTTGCCAACACCTTCTTTGCAAGGAAAGGCACTGGGACAATCAATGAGGGAGAAGTGAAGCTCCTTGACATGGGAATCAAGCCCATCATCTCACGCACAAGGATGGGAAGAAGATCAGAGGAGATAGATCTGCAGGGAACTCATGCCTCTCCTTGACCAGCTCTCTCCTACAAGACAGCTTACAACACTAGGCACCAAAGGGAAGGAAGCTTAGTGTTGGAGGGTCATCACACCTATCTCTGTGCAGCTGGAGTCCACTGGACAAGAGAAGGTCTACTCCAGCAGGTTGGATGGACATCAAGTTTTGCAAGACCAACCTCCTCATTGAGCACAAGGAGTTGGATGGGAGGTTCCAATTCAAGTTCACCATCCATTGGCTGGCCCTCCAAGCTTCTTCTGCCCAACCCTGAGCTCACCACAGTTCTAGGAGGTAGAACATTGACTTCAGACCCCCTGTGTACACATTAGTTGGGCATGAAGGGATTTGCGAGAAGAGAGATGAGCTCGATCGAGCTGAGGATCGAGCTGAGATCAGCTGAAGATCAGGTCCAGGAGATGCGGATTTGGGTGAGCCTGAGTGCTATTACTTTGAGGAGTATGAGGCTCCAAGGATGAACCCCTCTGTTGTGGCTGCCACAAGAGGATTGGACTTCTCCAAAAGTTCAACAAGTGGCAAGGGAAAGCCATGAGAAGATGCAAAAGTCCATGGACAAGATGGTGAGCAAGATCAAAAGTTTGGAGAAGAAGGTTTCTGGTTCTTCAAGCAAGAAGAAGTCCAAGGCCCCACTTTCCCTAGGAGTAGATCACTCCTCACCACCCAAGGAGGCTCCCTGCCCAAGAGCCTCACAGAGCCTCTTCTTTCGAGCCAAGGGAAGGAGAAGACAACACGCAGAGAAGGAGGAAGACTTCCAAGGCCAGACGCTCCAGCTCGACCACCGGACTCGATCGAGTCCAAACAGAGGAAACTCAACTCGATCGAGCTGAGGGTCGAGTTGACCTGGAGGAGCCCCAGTTTGAGAATCCTGGATTCGAGTACGATCAACCCAGTACCAGGACTTCTCTCAGACCCTGGACCCCTACAACGCTTCGAGCAAGCCAAGCTCCACCAAGGCCAAGGAGCCACACACACTTTCAAGATGAAGAAGAGGAGGAAGAGGAGCCACAAGCTCGATCGAGTGAGGCAACCCAGTGAGTGGAGTGCTCCTGATGGCCGTCTCCCATCTCCAGACCACGACCTAGCCTCCCAGTTCTTTGGGGGGCACTGAGGTATCCAAACACCAACCCTTGTATATACCATTTCATATTTTCTTGTTCTTGTTTTTTCTTGGTTTTGCCCTCTTGAATCTTTCACTAAATTTTTCTCACACAAGGGACTGTGTGATTTAAGTTTGGGGGAGGGTTCAAGAGATGATTTAACCTTGTTTTCTTTGTTCTTAGTTTTTCATTTATCTTTTGCATAGAAAAACCAAAAAAATCATAAAATTTTCAAAAAATCCAAAAATATTTTCATCTTTTTGCATTCATATTTGTTAGACTTGTTTAGGATTGCATTTTTCACTTGCATTGTTGATTTGACTTTGAAAACTTGTCCATCTTTTGCGATTTCTTGAGTGCCCTGTTTTTAGATTCTTTTGTGCATTAGGGTGAGATTGATTGAGCAGCAAGAACCATGTTTATCTTGATCATATCGCTGCATGCACATCTCATTCAACCATTGCTGTGATTTGATGCATTTCCCTATCTATTTGAACCATAACTTGATCTTTAATTACCAATGCTTGCATTTGATTTCAACTCATGGCTACCACATACATATCTGGACATTCTTTACCTTTTCATATCCCTTTGCTTGTCCAGATAGCTGATCTCTATCTTTGAGACAGTTACCACACCTTAAACCTAAGCCTTTTCATTTCAAACCCCATTTTATCTCTTGTGCGAATGTGAGAACCTTTCTTGGCTTTGCTTAGCATAAGGTGTTGTGTTTAAACCGGCAGGGGCAGTAGTTCTAGTTGTCTAGTTCTCTTGGGATTGTTTTCAGGCTAAGTTTGGGGGTGCCAACTCGAGCTCGATCGAGTTGGGTGTAAAAACCAGAAAAGTGGTAAAAGTTGGGAAAAACCCAAAGGAAAAAGAGTTTAGTTAAGTCCAGGGAGTTGGCAGTGTTAAAAAGGGTCTAGTAAAGGTTTGGGAAGTTAAAAAAGGAAAGTAAAAAGGGTTCTAAGTAGAATGAAAAGAAGGCAAAGCCTCAAGTGTCAAAAAGGAAAGAAAAGTTCCCTAAGTGTTTAGAAAATCCCAAACCGCTAGATGTTACCTCAAGAAGCCTCTCCCTAGGAAGTTCTTAAAAGAAAAGTGAGCAAAGCTCCTCAGTTTCAAAGGCGAAATGCCAAAAAGGGTAGTTAGGATTTTGTTCTAAAAAGCTCTAAGTGTTGAACTCGATCGAGTTAGGATTAGGCGGCTCGAGCTGCTGTTCTTGCATCATCTTTGGTTCTAACACTTAGCCTTCTGCCAAAGCAAAGCCACTTTCTTGAGAGATCCCTGTTACTAAACCACCATACAAAAGAGACCCTCTTTGTCTCTTAACCCATAAACCCTTGAAACCAAATGAGTTGATTGATCTTGCATGTTTTTGGTTCACTGTTTTTGCTTAATGAATGTTAAAGGGATTTGCTGATTTGAATGCATTGTTTGAGTGACTGTGAAGTGGGATTGATGTTGATAAGCATGGTTAAATCTTAATGAATATCTCTCACCTTGTTGCATTCTAGAATCTCTAAGTTGGACATTTAGCAAATCGCTTTTGAGGACATGTTTTTAAGTGTTGAATCAGCTATTTTCAAACCTCATCTCTTTCTTGTTCTATTTGTTTGCTTGAGGGCAAGCAAAGTTCAAGTTTGGGGGTGTTGATGTACTTGCATTTTACATAGTTTTAGCACATCTTTTATGCATCTTTTGCATAGTTTTAGCTTCCATTTGCATCATATCTTGTTCCTTTTCTCTTCTTATGCATTCATGTTAGTTTTAGGTTGCATTTGCATACATATGCATGTTTGGTCCTTTGAAATAGGTCTTTTGGAGCATTCTGGAGCATATGGGACATAAGGAGCATGGAGGGACTTGGCACATGGAAGCAGCTCAACTGGATACGCAAAGGAAGAAGGGAGAAGCCATCTTGAAGACCAGCTCGACCGTCTACTCGACCAACCGGTCGAGTTCCTCAACTCGACCGGCCAAGCTTCAACTCGATCGAGCTGAGAAGTCAAAGTCAAACCCGAAAAATGTTGCTTCCCCCTTGACTTTCCTTTGACCCTAAACCTAATCCTCTTGTATTTAAAGGCTCTAAGCCACGAAAAAACCACCAAGCTTTAGATTATTTTGTTTTAGTTTCTTTTAATTTATTGTCTTTTACTTTTTAGAGATCTAATCCCATCTTTGTGTTCTTGAAGCTCTTGCTTCTTGAATCCTTAGATCCTGGATAATCTCTTTGTATTTGCACTTGCTTATTTCAATAAAAGTTGTTTAATTTCATCTCCTCTTTCTTATGATGTCTCTTTTATTGCATTTGCTTGTGTTTACATTCATGTGTAGTGAGTAGTTACCCATTAGGGTTTGAGATGGGATAGATTAGAGGTTTCATATGCTTAATCCTTCTAGCTTATGGTCTTAATCTAGATTCTCTCTCTTTTGGATAGATCTTAAGGCTACATGACCACTACCCCTGGCTTGTAAGTCCTTAGGCGACTCCCCACACGAAAGTGATGGCATTCGCTGGAAAAGATCCACTAAGAGCTCCAATATCTCTTGCTCTAGACAATAGAGGTCTAAGGGGTTGGATGGATTAGTTTGGGCAATGATCCTATAGCCTCCAAGGTTTGATTCTCACTGGCTAACCCCCTGTTTCTGAGATCATTCCTTGGTTGATAGCCTCCACCTTGGGAAAGGGTTGGCTAGGCATTGAGAAGCCCAATATCAAGAGAAGCCTTGATACAAGGAGTTTTAAGAGCTAGATTGATTAAGTGTAGATTCCTTTGATTGCAAAACCCTGTCTTGAACCCTAATTCTCTCTTATCTTGTTAAAGTCGTCACCTTTAGCTTTGTTTGTCTCAACTCGACCCTAAACTCGATCGAGCTGGTACTTGTTCTGACTCGACTCGAGTCTTGGTCGAGCTGCTTACTGCTTTGTTTACTTTTATTGCACTGCTTTTCATTTTTTTAGGTTGTTAGTGTTACTTCAAATCTATACTGCTTGCTTGACTTTCTGGTTGTTTCATATTCTCATAGAGTGACAAGTTTCCCATTTTGGATTGATAACCTCTTATACTAATGACTATGATGGTTAAGAGGAATTGATTGATTGTGATTGCACCATACCATTCATCTTTATTCACCCCTGTTTGCATTCCACCTCATTTCATCACATCCCATAAAATCCTATCATCATACGCTCACAGCCAGACCTCTGCTCCACCACCACCACTGCGTGGCTCTGCTCCACAACCAACACCACGTGGCTCTGCTCCACAGCCACAACCGCGTGGCTTTACTCCACAGCCATCAGCGAGTGGCACTGCTCCACAGCCACAACCATTCCGTCCCCAGCCTCTTCGTCCACAGCCATATGTTCCACCAACGTTTTCTCCACCGGCGTATGCTCAATCGCCGGTTCATATGGAGACGGACGATGAACCACCGGAGAACTATCCACTCCCGGAGGAGCCTCAAGCACCACAACAAGATCCGCCTATAAGTATTTACGACTTGCTGCGAACTCCAGGTCGTGGAGCTTATTTACCAATCTTGGACCCATGTCACACCGAAAACACAACATGGTAATCGCTATTCAAACATAGTTTTTAAATTTCTTTGTTGGTTTGTGTATAGTTCTCATCACTCAATTGAAATTGATTTGTGTTTTGTTCTTATCTTGTAGGTTTGATCGAGATGATGGGAAACTGGTTTGCAAAATCTCGAAGATTTTGAAAAGCAAGTTTGATGGTGCTTACTATTGCTGGACAAAAACGCCTAAACATGTCCAAGAGAGATGTTTCATAGCCTTTGCGGTATACTTCTTATCCGTTTATTTACCTTTAAAAACTTCAATTTTTCTTAATCATATTACTTTTTATTTGTAATCATTGTATGTTTCTTTCATTTGTGAAGCAAGCGCACCATTGGGACCCCTTGATCAATTCACTTGTGGAAGATGAATTCAAGGCCATTGCTTTACTACGCATGAAAGATATGGTATGCAAAGTGAAGAAAAAAGGCGCTCGACCAAATTGGATCGGGGAAACATTGTGGAGAACAATGTGCTCTTACTGGGCCACGGAGGAGGCCAAAGAGAGGAGTTGTACTGCATCAAATGCAGTAAACTTTCCGAAAGATGGACTGGGAAGGCGCATACATCGGTCAGGACAAAAGTCCTATTCGCGGATCCAAAGAGATATGGTAAGTTTTCATATATTATTTGATCATTGTCTTTTCTATTTTCTTTGCGATTTGCGTGGCTTGGAGTTTCTGATACACCATAACTTAAATTGTCTTCATTGTGTTCTCTATATGGTTAAGCGATATTGAATATGGATAGTATGACAGTGATTGCTTAGGATTGTTTTACAAAAATGCATTGTCTTAGTAATGAATGATTCAGTTTATATGGATTTGAGATGTTTTCATTTGATTTTTGATTTGATCTCTTTCTCTGAATTTTTAAACTGTGATGAAGGAAACGGAGCTTGGAAGACCTGTGTCAATTGGAGAAGTGTTCATAAGGACACATACACGGCCTGATGGGAGTTTTGTTGATCCAAAGTCTCAGAATATTGCTGAAGCGTATGAAAAAAACTTAGAGGATTCGATGTCTCAGCTCATGGATGACACGTCTGATTGTTCTTCTGAGCTTACCACAGCTGCAAAAGATGATGTCTTCCTCAAGGTCAGTCTGTTTAGTTTATGTATGTGATGTGTGAAATTTGATTGTGAAACCGAAAGGAACCCTTGACAAGTTAAGATGGTAACTTTGAGACTTGTTCAAAGCAACTCTCGTTCTTCTCTCATTTTTATGATATTAATCTTACATGCATTTGCTCTTGGTGAAAACTTAAATCTCTTTAGTTTCCTTTAGTTTCTGCACAATAATCTCCTTTGAGCTATAGTCTTAGATTCGATTCTCTTACACTTGTTACTTTCTTAAATGTGCTTTCTTTTGTTTGCAGACTACGGATATTGATGATAGGGGCAATGAATTCGGTCTTGGTAGTCTCCGGCGTCAGTATGGAAAGGGGAAGAGGAAGGGAGAACCAGGGACCTCAGCCGTTTCTGTATTTTCCGGATTGCAAGAACATTTGCAAGCTGCTCAACGCAAAATTGAAGTCCAGGCAGCGGCTATTGCTGCACGGGAAGTTGAATCAGCTGAGCAACTTAACCGCATCGGCAACTTAGAGATGGTCTTGAGCTATCTCAAGTCCACCGATCCTAAATTTACGGATTATGTGACACAGCAATCTACACCAGCGGCAACTCATTCACCGGGAGGAACTCCGACACCGGAAGTAACTCCGACACCAGAAGGTATGGTTTCAGGCGGTGAACCCATCTGAGTTGCTCTGTTGTTGTTATATTTTCTCAAACTCTGTTTTTGGTTTTGATGCACATGTTATGCATCAAAGAACTTATGTTGTTTTGTGAAATATATTACATTTTTAGTAGTTTATAAATTCTCCTTTCTCATCCTTTTCAACTAATAATTTTATAAATCAAATTGAAAACTAAAACAAGAATAATTAGAAACAACAAATTAGCAACTACAAATTCAATCAAATCGCATAATGGTCACACCTATTTACCACTATTTTGCGACTAATTGTATTAAATTATCGTTGCAAAAGAGTCGTACAATTTAGTCACACTTTTGCGACGACAACGCAATTAGTCTTTAATCAGTCCCAACGCTTAACGACTGGATTACGACTACTTTTTCACTAACAAGGAAGTCTCAAACTCGTCGCAAAAGTTTGCGACTTCATTGCGACAAGGTTAGCAACTGTTTTGAAACTACATATATTCGTCGTTATATTAAATGAGGAGTCTCTCTGCAGTCGCAAAACTAAGACTAAAAGGTTAGTCGCACTTTCGTTTCAAATTTGCGACTATGAGGCGACTACGACGTTTTGCGACGAGCGATTTGCGACTCCTTGTTGTAGTCGCGTACTAGTTTCAAAACGTTTGATTGCGACTACTTTGCAACATTTAGTGTAGTGGCTAAATCGATGTTTTCTTGTAGTGAGTGTAATTGGTGCTCTTATGTATCTTGCGAATTGTACACGTCCTGATATATCATTTGCCATTAATTTCTTGGCAATATTTAGCTCATCTCCAACTTAAAAACATTGGAATGAAGTTAAGCATGTACTTCGCTATCTTCAAGGAACGATTGATTTAGGGTTATTCTACCCTAAAAACGCAGATGACCAAATGATTGGTTTTGCAGATGATGGGTATCTATCTGATCCTCACAAAGCCCGTTCACAAATTGGGTATGTTTTCACTGTCGGAGGAACCGCTATTTCATGGCGCTCCCAGAAACAAATTCTCGTGGCCACCTCCTCAAACCATGCTGAAATCATTGCGCTCCACGAGGCAAGTACAGAATGTGTTTGGCTTAGGACAATAAGTCAACACATTCAATTAAGTAGTGGAATCCGAGTCCATACAGAACCAACCATATTATATGAAGACAATGCTGCATGTGTTTCTCAAACGAACGAAGGATATATTAAAAGCGATAGAACCAAACATATTCCATCTAAGTTCTTTTCATATACCCAAGAACTTGAGAAGAACAAAGCTATTGAGGTGAAATATATCCGGTCATCCGAGAATACAGTAGATCTCTTCACAAAGTCACTACCTACCTCAATATTTAAGAAACATATCCATAATATTAGAATGCATCATCAATGAGACCTATGAAACCAAGTTATTCGAGGGGGAGATTATATAGTTGTATCTTTTTACTTTATTATGGTTTTTCCATTGGATTTTCCTGGAAAGTATTTTTAACGAGACAACTAAAGACACATATGATGATGGACTCTAAGGGGGAGTGTTACAAAAGTCAATAGAAATTGACGTGTATGAATTAATGTGGAGCCCATGTCATTTATTCTCACAGTAATATTTGTCTAAATTCACTTTATATCAATGTTTTTAAAACTAGACCGGAGGATAAATTAGAAAGACTTCTGGGTCATGGGTCAATACAGTCTAACCAGTTCATATGGATTCACTATATATTTTTTTATTATTAATATACATATATGGTATGGTAATTATATTGTAAGTAAATATTAGGCTTATTAGCTATAAATGTGATTTCCTACTTCTGCATTTTAGTTTATTTTATTTTAAATATACATTAAGACAAAAATGAATTATAGAAAATAGAAAACCCTACTTTTTCCACCCAAAAACCTCCGCCGCTGTCTTGACCCTCTCCTTCTTTCTTCTCCTATTCTATTCTTTCACTTTTCTGAAGTTTCAAGTTTCTGTAAATAAATTTCTTCAATTTTTTTGTTTCTTACTTACATCTATAATTTTTTGTTTTTTCTTCCTAATATCGTTACATTAAACATATGGAAACTGGTCGAAGAAAATCAACACAAAACGATGATATCATCGTGAAAAACGCAGAACAAGCCCATGAAAAACTCAAAAGTACAAGAACCGGATTTTCTGCTCAGTTTAAGCCGATTCGCCGGTTTTTGCCGATTTTTATCCGAGTTTTATGGAAAAAATTCTGATATGCCACAAATCAGTGAACCGGTTGCCAAAATGCCATAACAAAATAATTAATTTCTTTTCCATTTCTTTTTAAATGAAAAAACTAGTAAAAGTCATTAAAACCTAGATAAAGTTCACTTATTTACGAATTGAACCAGGGTTATGCCGAAAACCCGCAAACCCGATCCGAATTTAATGGATATGATAGAGTAAAAATCCCTAAATTCACTATGTCGGTTTTTAATTGTTGTGTGTAAGAAATTTCAAATCACAAAGGGAAATCGAAGAATCTCAGCTCAATCTCAACGGATACTGAAATTCTAGAGTGGAGAATTGTAGAGTGAAGCTTCAAATTAAGTCCAGCAATGGTGGTTTTGAGAAACAGCAAAGTAACGACGGAACCGCCAAAGACGACGGAAACGGCGGAACCGTCGAACTCCACAGAAATGGCGGAACCGACGAAGTCAACAGAAGCGGCGGAATCGCCGAAGCCGACTGAGGCGACAGAACCGTCGAAGGCGACCGAAGCGGTGGAACCATCAAGGCCGAAAGAAACGGAGGCGGAACTGTCGAAGCCAACAGAAGCGGCGATTTCAACCAATGAATCTCCGCCGATAGAAGAAACGGAGGTGACAGGAGAAGCGGAAACCGAGGAAGCAAATCCCAATGCAGAAGAAGCCCAAACTGAGGAGAAGATGAACTCAGAAGAAGATGAATCGGAAAAAGAAGATGAATTGGAAGAAGAAGAAGAGCACGAAGAAGAAAAAGAAGAAGAGGACAAGGATTTGTCTGGTGACCAACTAGAGAACAAGGTATAATATTTGAATCTTGTTTATTATGTTTACTTGGATTCTGAGTTTGATAATAGAGAAGAGAATGATTATTCTGAGTTTGGTAATCTATTCGACTAAGTTCAACTAAGTTCGAATATACAATAGTTGAACTGTTATCAATGCAAATTACATTTCGGTGCTGTAATTTTGTTTGAACATGCAGGATGAGGAGTATAATGATGATAATGATGATAATGATGACAATGATGGCGAGGAAAATCGACAATCTCCACAACAGCAGGAGCAGGAAGAAATTCCTCAACCGGATCAAACCCCACCGGAAGAACCACTTCAACCGGAACAAACAGAAGACGCTGAAGCAATGCCTTCAGATGCACATGTCTCTTCTTTTGCACCGGTCATGGTAATGTAGATTTTTAGAAATTCAATTCCGCAAATGGTTTGAATGCAAGTTCGAGTAAGTTCGAGTAGGTTCGGGTAAAAGTATAATTAGTAACACTACATTGTTTGACTTGGCGGCAGGTTGATGATGAATATATACCACTGCCACCAGAGAAGTTTTACTTTCGTCCAGATCAGTATAGAAAGAGTTGTAGGATATCATCGAGGTGTTATGTGAATGATACGGTCAAGGACATCAAGAAATTCCTCAGGCGTTGGAATGGTTTTCTAGTCATCCTCAGTTTAAGCATATCTTTCATATGCCTCTGGTGGAAAACCGTAAATCAAAAGGATTTTGGATGCTTCTTCTGCACCTAGCTTGTACTGATAGTGACAGAGAATTATGGTTTGTGGTTAATGGAGTACCTATTAGGTACTCCATTAAGGAGCATGCGCTGCTGAGTGGATTGGATTGTCATGACTACCCTAGCAACTATGGGGAGCTGAAGGACAAGGAAGCCGGCGATTTCAAGTTTGTTGAAAAGTGGTTCAAGAGAAGGACCAATATTACCATAGCAGATGTGAAGAAGAAGCTAGGGAAAGTGAAGAGCGCTGTTAACAAGAAGAAGATGGCTGCGCTATATTTCTTAACCAATGTCTTGAAAGCGAAGTCCAAATACAAAGGAAACATAGAGCCATTCTTTCTCAAAGTCGTGGATGATTTGGACTTGTGTGAAAAATTTCCTTGGGGCCGTTTGACCTTTGATGATTTGGTAGATGAAGTTAAGAAAGTAGCGAAGAAGTTCAAGGGAGGCGTCGTCAACGAGAAGGATTCATGGACCTTTTCTGGATACATTCTTCCTATTGAGGTAATTCTTTTAATTATTTTCCTTAAATTTACATGGATAGGGTCGTGATATTGTAGTACTCTCTATGTACAGGCTTTTGCGTTTGAGTGCATTCCTGCGCTTGCTCAAACCTTTCGAGAACCTGTTCATGCAGAGAGCGACTGTCCAAGGTTGTGCAAGCACAATTTCAAAGCAACTTACATGAAAGGTTATCCACTGTCCGAGATAAACGAAGCAATTGGCAGCAATAGGGTGAGTATTTGTCATCATATAGTGTACTTTATTTTATCTTAATTGAGCAAGCTTATCATGAGTGTATTTAATGTGTTCATAATCGCAGGATATCATAAGCATCTTGGAACCAACCTCAGAGGAGGAAACCCTTATGGAGCGCATCATAGACCCTAGTTGTGATGATGGGATTGGCTCCGTGGATCATTTAGTCGACCTTTGGAGAGACATTCTAATCGTCCAGAAGAAGAAGATATGGTGGGAGTCTCTGTACAAGATTGACTTGGCCGGCAGAGGTATCACCGAGTTTGCAAATGAAGTACCAATGCAGGCACCTGACAACGGTGGATCAGTTCAGGGAATGATGGAAACGTTGAAAGCTTTGATCGAGGAAGCAACAAAGAAGTTGGAGGATAAGATGGATGATGTTACCTCAGAGATTAAGGCAATGGTTGGGGACTTAGATGAGAGACTTGATATGGTTGAATGTTATGTGAATGAGCAAAGAACCAAGAAGGCTCATGATAGAAGCGGAGCAAGTAGTTTTCCTCTAGGTTCTGCTTTTCGGACTCCGGCCGAGAAGATTGTAGCAGGGGATATAAGTGAGGCGGAGGAGGAGGCGGAGGAGGAGGAGAGGAGGAGGAGGAGGAGGAGGAGAAGGAGGCGGAGGAGGAGAGGAGGAGGAGGAGGCGGAGGAGGAGGAGGAGCAAGTAGCAGAACCGCCAAAGAAGAGAAGAAAAGAAACTCCAGCAGAGAAAGAGAAGAGGACAATCAAACCTTCAGCTATTCTCTCATCTCCATATGTGGCTGGTCAGGCAAATAGAAAAAGAAAAAGCAAGACAAGTGGAAAAGGGAAAGGAGGTGCAAAGAGACCGTACAACACACGTAGGAAACAAGGATGAAGACGGCTCTGTGTTTAGGAAGTTATGTATTGTGTACTATCTCTATGTTTTATGACTTTGGATTGTGTACTATTTCTGTTTTTGAGTTCTGCACAACTATGTTTGCATAGGTACAACTGTGTTTTTGAATGGTAATACTATGGAACAATTTGCATAGGTACAACTGTGTTTGCATAGGTTCGACTGTGTTTTTGGATGGTAATACTATGGTTTGCATAGGTACAACTGTGTTTGCATAGGTTCGACTGTGTTTTTGGATGGTTTAAGTGTGTTTGCAACTTGACTTCGTGTTTGACTTGTAATGTTTTGATTTTTGTTGACATGAGTTGCAAAGACATAATGAAAGGACATAATTAAAAGACATAGTTTGCAAACATAGTTAAGTTTTAACATAACTAAAAGACATAATTAAAAACATAATTAAAAGACATAGTTTGCAAACAAAGTTTACACAAATCTTAAACACAACTTAAGAAGACCTCTTAAATAGTTTGAAAAACAGAGGTCTTCATCCGCAGCAACTAAAACCAAACTAAAAATTTGAAGGTTTTTGTTACTTAAACCAAACTAAGAACCAAGCAAGAAGAAGGAAAAGTGCAGCAATCGCAAACGTGCTTTCCACAGCTTTGTACTTCTTGTTGAAATCACCAATCACCAACTCCAACCTAGTTATCTCCGCTTTGCTCTGTTCTTGTTCTTCCTTCAGGTCGGCAATACGTTTCTCCGCAATACGCATGTCCATGATGATGAATGTTAGCTCGCCGTCCTTCAGCTCCGAGATTAACTCCTCCATTCCGGCACGGTGGTGAGTTTGAAGACTCTCAACTTCCCCAGAAACCCGCTTGATTTCAGAGTGAAGTATTTCTAACTCCTCTTCAATCACACGATCCCACCACTTCCGAATATGATAACCGGGTTTCTACAATCAAAAATACGAAATTCACCATGAATCTAACAGAACCCTAAACCCTAGAAAGAATTACACTAAAAGAACCCAAAATAGAAAGAATTCGGAGACATGATTATCAACTAACCGCTCGGAATTCGCAGGAGAAGTATATTTTCCCAGGGTCTTGTTCGGTGCGAGACGTTTCCCTGATGACCCTTCCACCGCAGTAACAGTGCTCGGCATACCGTACTCACCATCTCTGATGGTGTTTTCGTCGAGTGAGTATGAAGAGGACGATGAGGTTGCAACCCAACTGTGAGGTCCCATCTCAGAAAATGAGAGAGAGAGAGAGGAATCGAAGAGAGGAATTGAAGAGAGAAACGAAAAACCTAAGCGAGAGAGAGAGAGCGAGGAGAGAGAGTGAGTGAGAATAAGAACCCTAGAAATCAATTTGGGGAAAATCTGATTCAGTTTCACTTTTTCTCCTTCTTTTAAAGTATTACCAAATAATGAAAATTGCGGCGGAAATATAAAATATAAAAAAAAAATAATAAAATTAAAAAAATCCCGCTTACTTTTCCCGCCGGCGGAAAAGTTAAAAATTTGCAAAATTCTGGAAAAAATGGTCATAGTTGTACTCATGCCATTCGTCGAACCAAAATTAGTCATAGTTGAACATCTGCGAGTTTTGGGTTTTTGTAGTAGAACCACACCAATGTGTAATGGTCAAGTTGAACCAATGATAGTTCATCTTATTTTATCATTACAAACATATTATGTCAAAATTTTAGACAAAACTCGTTTTCTTCTTAATTTGAATCACATCATTGACACATTACCTACATATTCCCATATATTGTATAGGGTGCTTGATGACTAACATGCTTATCCAGTAGGATATAACTTTTTTTTTTTCAATTTTGTTCTTTCTATCAAATAAGTAGACATAAATATGTTTTTTTCTTAATTAACTCTCTACATTGCATATCATAAATATATTCACTAAACATTTGCCGTTCGTATATAATTCGAGCCGAATAGTCGAACCTATGGGAGCTAGTTGTACCTGTGTACTTGAAACCAAAACACGTCCACATTCAGACGTCTACATTCACAGACGCAATGAACATTCTCTATGCACGCGGGAACCGGGCAGAACCATAAGTCGTTTATCAGCTAACCCATACACTTACATGTTTCGAACATAATTCCATAACCTTTACCATATTAGAATACAAACCCACATTATTTACATACTTGAACCTACTTGAACCTTGTAGAACCTTGTTCCGAAATTTTGATAATAAAAACACTGAATATTAGTACATACTTGAACCTGTTAGAACCCATCAGTACAACTTCAAGTAACACACTGCAGACAACATGACTGCAACATTGTTCACACAAACTTCATACAACATAATTAAAAACAAATTCAAGCGGTTAAAGCAAGCCAATTCAAATCCAAACAACATAAATACCAAATCCAAACAACAGAATTGCAATTGTTACTCGTTTGGAGGTTTAAAAAAAAACACCCAAATCCTGATGAGGCTTACACTTGTTACTCGTTTTCTTCTTCTTCTTTTTACGACTTTCTCCTTCTGATGGATGTCGTTCTTCTTGGTTTCTTCCTCTTTTTGCTGTGTAATCAGGAGGATAAGCGAACAATTTCAGAACATCCTCCGGGATTGCCCAAGTTGAGATATGGGGCACTGTATAGATCGTTTTCACATATGCTCGTGCCCATGTCTCAACCAAATAGTATCTGGAGCACAAATCATATACAGAAAGAGTCGACATTCTTCCATCCTTCTTTATCTTTGCCATGAGTGCGGCAATTGCATGGACACACGGGTACTTGTCAATGTCAAACATTCTACACACGCAAGTTTTGCTCGCCAAATCCACAAGATATACCACACCATCTGAACCAAATACGTCGAACAGAAATTCCTGACCATTTACCTCCCTGACCGTTAAACGCTTAGCTATTGGACATCTTTCGTGAAGAACATTCTCCACAAAAGGCACAACGACCTTTGTACTTGGCATTGAAGCGCATTCGTTCCTATACTTGTTGGACCAAAAAGCGAATTTCTCTATTATCTTATCAAGCATTGGTAAGAGAGACAACTTTCTGTCTTTCCTAAACACACTATTCATAGATTCGCAAGAATTGCTGGTGTCTAAGTTATACTTTTCTCCTTCAAAAATGCACCTTGCCCACCTTTCCACATCTATCTTGTCAACCAAAAACTTAGCACACGCAGGATACAGCTTCCTGAACTCATCAAACTCCTTTTTAAACTCAGACCCAGTATAAGCATGAGCGCATTTGATGAACTTATCAACAACATCGTCTTTCTTAACACCTTGCTGAGCATGCCCTTTTACGTTCTGAGCCAGATGCCAAATACAGTGTACATGGCGAGCCAATGGATAGACCTTCGACTCCATATATGATGCTTTTATGTCTGTCACTAACAAAAACGAGTTCAGGATCATCTGGTACAACAGCTTTCAGGTTTTCCAGGAACCATGGCCAACTACTATGATTTTCGCTATCAATTATCCCAAAGGCAATAGGGTAATGGTGATGATTAGGATCTTGAGCAGTGGCAAACACAAGCTGTCCACCATATACAGTCTTCAGAAACGTTGCATCCACAACTATCACTTTTCTCATCCATTGAAACCCTTCAATGCTCGCTCCCAAAGCAACAAACAGATACTCAAACCTGTGCAAAGCATCTAGTTGCACATTCGTTTTGCTTCCAGGATTTTCCTGCTCCAGCATGTACAGATAAGAAAATAACATCTTGTAGCCTTCTTCAGGAGTGCCTCGAACATCACTAACGTGTAGTTTTTTTCCTCTCAAGCCGTTGAGTATGACACATTCACACCAAGTCTACGGTGAACAACATCGACAATTGTTTTTGGAACTGGTGTGTCAAACTGACCTGGATAGTCTTCATGCAAAACCGATGCCACTAATCGTGGGTTGCCTCTCCTTCGAGAGCTGTTACTACTTTCAACAGCCCGTGAGCAGTTGTGCTTGTTCCAGTATTTTCGGACACTGAAAAAATCTGATCCACCTTTCCTCGCAGCATATATATACCAATTACAGCCTCCGCTCTTCTGAGTGCACCTTAGGATAAGTCGGCCAGTGTCAGACTTGTAAGTGCGGACACCAAAACAATGCTTGTGTGAAGCTCTGTCAACCAAATCTTGCAATGCCTCCTTTGATGGAAATTCTTGTTTTATTTCAAGACCAATACCATCTTCCCATTCTTCAGCCAACTTAATTTCTTCTACAGGACGTGAAAGCTCAAAATCCTCATCAAAGAAGTTTAACCCATCTTCCTTACTATCTGGTTCTGGACGCTTCTCGTTGCCATCCTCTTCTTTACCATCAGACTCAACCTCTTCGATATGTGGCTCTTCAATATGTGGCTCTGGCTCCTCAACATGTGGCTCTCTGAATATGGTAACGACACCATCACCTCTGTCATTTGGAACCGACTCCTCCTCGTAATTCAAACCAAATGAACTTTCTGCATCCGTTCTAGACAGGTGGTCGCTCCTATGATTTGCTCTGTTCGTGTTCTTGGTTACCTCCACATGCAAAATCCTCCTAAATCCCAGATTATCAATTGTCGTTAGATAAGCAAATAGGTCTTCATCATCAAAAATGTACATCTCTCTCGCAGGATTATTTGACATTGGAATGTAACTCAATTTCAGCAGCGGCTTAGCTCCATCTCTTGCAATCTTCCTGCATATCTTATCCACAACCGCCGAGTACGTAATCTCCTCCAAAGATGAGATCTTGAATGTTATAGCGCAAGTGGGATTCTTTGAAACCCATTTCAGTTCCTCTTCTGCATAATGACCTCCGTGGTCGAAAAATATGTTTGTGATGATCATGCTCATTGTTACCCTGCAAATATAATGAAAATAATCAATTCCCAATTACAAAACATCTCACAGTTGTACTACGTGTACCAGTTGAACTTTTACTACCATTACTTTTTAAAATGCAGTTGTACCTATATGAACCAGTTGAACCACTTAATCAACTAAGTCCCATTTGTACCACTCGTACCAGTTGTACCATCTCTGCAGGTTCCGATCTAGTTCAAATACAGTTCACTCGCTGCGATTCACAAGCTACATTACTCAAAAAGCTTAATCTACCGCCTATTCTATCAATGCATGTATACCATTGCAATGCCTATACCAATGAACCACCCAATGAACCAATTTACATCCATGCACCAAACAAATTAGAAACTCACTTTCAATGGACTTGAAGCTTCAGCAATGGTCAAACAAACGAAAAGGGAACATCCACTGTCTACGGAGGTGAAAGAGGAGGCGGAATAGGTATAGATGAGCTCAGGTCGAAGAAGATTTCGAGTTCAGTGAAGATTTTGAGTGAGAGAAGCGAGCTGAGCTTCGAGAATTCCGACCACGGTTTCCGATTTCCGAAATCCAATCAATTGGATTGTTTTATTTTCTTTTCTTTTTTAATTATTTTCGATTTCTTTTTTTATTTTAAGTTATTTTTTCATTAAATTTGAGAAAGGTGAAAAGTAAAAGGTGAAAAGGAAGAAGGAGGGAGAAAAGAGTAATTGCACATCATCTTGTGGCATTAGATCATTCTTTGGCACACGAGATTAACTTTCGCCAAATTGTGGCAAATCAGCCGCGCGCTCGAGTTTTATGGGTTTTATCAGTTCCGGGTTTCAGAGGTAAACCAACCTGGATAACCTTTCGATTCACGGCTTAACCGGTTCGACCGTCGGTTCGGTCCGGTTTTCAAAACACTGCTCTATATATATGAACGTCTACGTTCATTGTAAAAGCACCGGCAAATATTCTTCATTGTAAAAGCACCAATAATAAGAATATTTGCTCTTATCTCTTTTTATTGGTACTCTCTCTTTTATTCTCTACACATTTCTCACTTTTAGAAAGTTTATACGTTTAGTTTCTTATTCATTTATAAAGTAATTATAACAATTTTCATATTAATAGACTACAAATCAGAGTTCTCATAAATTTACGATCCTGAAATGGAGAATATTGACTCAAAGATAACTACAATACATTAAAGATCAATCTAATATACTGTAAGATTACTCGTTCAACTTCAACTTGAATCTTTATATTATTAATTGAGAAGTACATGAAAAATTTATGACCAAAAAACCAATCTAATTATGAAGAGAAAATGTTTGGCAACAGATTTAATTAGGGTCAATTTAGTACATTGTAATGTTTGGATACAAGAATAAGAGAAAAACTATTTGAATAGAAGAATAAATGGAAAAAATTGTTTGGATACAAAAATAATAACTTAAAACAAACCGATGGTTTAGAAAACTTCCGTTTTCCAGTTCTTAAAAATCTGCAAAAAAGAAAACTTAACATAATCTAACGATAATACCAAATCAAAAAGAAAACTTCCGTTTTCCAGTTTTGGATTTTCTGGTTTTTATAAACAAGTTCGGGTTTGGGTGAAAATCTGAGACCTAATTTTACAGAGATATAGAGATATAGAAATTGTTCGGGTTTCTTTGAAAATTTCTGTTCGGGTTGGGTTCAAGTTTTTTTTTTTCAGTTTAGGGTTTTCCGGATTTTTGGATTTCGGGTTTTCGGGTTTAGATATATAAAAAGTTTGAATAATTTAAAATTTTTATTAGGGTATTTGGGTCGGGTTCCAGGTGAAAAAGTTTCCAAATTTTTTTTGTTCAGTTCAGGGTTTTCGGGATTTTTTTGATTTCGGTTTTTCGGGTTTAGACATATCAAAAAAGTTTGGATTTTTTTTTTTTATTAGAGTTTTTTTGGTCGGATTCGGATTTAGGGTTTAAATTTTCAACACAAAACCACAACGTCACACCGCACAAATGTGCGGGTACTCTACTAGTATGTTACAATATCGACGTACGTATTAAAGAACAAATAAGATACTTTACAGTGATACAAAAAAACAAAAAAATTATGAGAAAATGTTATATTTTACAGAGCCTCACTGCGTACACATATAGCAACATCATCCAACAAGGGGGCCAAAACTTTGAGAGCTTTTATGATCCAAAGAATGATTCAAGAAATTCCAATAGTCTTACCCAAAAGCCAGAGAACAAGCGACATTTCGATTCCGAAGATCGTATGGAGAGTACCTCTATCGAGTGTAAACCCAAACACCGTGATTCCAGCTTTGTTGTTCTCAAAGTAATTCACTACAATATCAAATAATTTTTTTGCCAAGATAAGAAGATATGAGATTTGGTGTTGATGCATTGCAGAGGCATATATGTAAATATATATATACGTACCTAGAGCTTGGCGTTTTTGGAATGATATGGTGCTATAAGCATAAGCAGGGATGAGATTGTTGTTATCGAAATCATCTTCTTCCTCTCCATAATCCTCACTGTCGTCTGTATCTCCAGTATCAGCATCAGTTGGATAGAATCCGTGCCCGCTTGCTCTATCAACCAGCCTTGGAGTCTCTCCATCAACTGTCTCAAAAGATTCAATTGTGGCGCAGACATGCCACTTGGCAGCAAGGCAAGTCACCGCTTGAGCTTTGTGTGTGATCTTTGAGGCACTTCGTAGTAGAATAAGCAGCGCAATGACCATTGTCATGGAACATAGCTGAGACAAGCACAAGAAACAAAGAGAGTAAGTAGATGGTAGAAAGAAGCATAGTTTCTTTGTCATTAAGAAAGTAAGAAAAACTAAACTCACTGCAAGTTCTCCAGCTCTGTAGATATTCAATTCAGCATAAGCCTTAGTGGTAATAAGCAGAGAGTAAAACTGACTACCAGTGACAAGAATCAAAGAGAACAATATGAAAGTTCGGTATCTGTGGCTGATGATTCGCAGGTGACGTCTAATACGGAGATGTTCAGACAAGATGGAACCAACGTCTGAATCCATTTGAAAAACCTGAGCAAAGTCTTGGAGCCTAAGGATCTGGAGATGGCAAATGAGACGGAAGAGGACACAAACCAGGAAGATCACGGTCGTACGGTATAGCCACGAACAAAGTTCCATCAGACAAGCGACTGTATCGCTCAAGATAACGTTTCCGAGGAAAGGAATCTGAGAAGCGCCTGAAGCGTACCACCATATCTTGTATGAGCTCATCGCTAAGAAGCAAGGAGTCACGAAGTAGGAGAGGATCTTCAGCGATCGCTGCATAGCGAAGAGTTTTGTGATTTTCAGTCATAATTCATAAAACATGGCTATGTGCTAATTAATTAAACATTGTAATGCTTGTGGAGCAAGTAAAAACAGGTTTTTCAAGATTGTTTACATCACCGTAGTAGATATTTGTGGGAAGCCCCAAGACTTATTGCTTCTGGATTTAGATGCAATAGGGTTTCAAATCTTTTAGCTAATTTTGTTTCCAATATTTAATTTTGACTACTTATAGTATGACATGAATAGGAAGGATCCAAAATTTCTACAGAAAACGACAGATTCAAACTTTTCTGATCGACGTCGAGGAAGAAACCAAATGATCCGAGCTATTTCAAATTTTCAATCATTAGGGCCCCAAAGTTCCCAGAATCGAGCGATTTCACCCACAATCGATAAACCAAATTCAAATTGGAAATGATAACCGGAGAAGAACGAAACTCAGATTTCCAGAAACCAATCAAGGAGGCGAAATTCGAAACGGAATCGAAAATGAATCAAAAAAAATAAAAATTAAAAACTCACGTTTAGTTGATTGGTGTAGCCTCGCCGGACAGTCTCGCTCTCGTCCCAAAGCTTATC